GGAAGGGAGGTGGGGAGGGGTAAATTGGGAGTTTGGGATTTGCAGATACTAACTACTTCATACAAAATAGCAAGGTGTTACTGTATAGTGCAGGAAATGATGTGCAATACCTTGTAATAACCTATAATGAAAAGGAATATGTAAAGGAATATATATATATATATATAAATGAATCACTAAACTGTACACTAGAATTTAACACAGCATTGTAAATTGACTATACTTCAATATTTTTAAGCCACTTAAGATCCAGTTATTGGCTTACAGACAATAAGGCTTGTAAAAATCACTTCTTTAAAAAAAAGTTAAGGCTTTGTTTGAGGTCAAGTACCTAATCAAATTTTGTATGTTTCATGGATATACTTTTTAATATGCAAATACTGTATTTAAGGGCCTAAGGGCCCTTATACATACATATATTTTCATAACACACATATTACATATGGTCAAATTTACTGAATTGTTATATTCAGTCCCTCTATACCCTTATTTATCTATTTTATTTTTTTGTTTATTAGAAGAAAATAATTCTTTTGTTATTATTGAAATGTTCCACTAAATTTTGAATACATTTTTAAATCAAGTTCTCTTTGTATTGTTAGTAGTTTTTGCTTTATGCATTTATTTAATTTTTAAAATTGAAGTATAGTTGATTTACAATATTATATTGGTTTCCGGTATACAAAATAGTGATTCAGTATTTTTTATAGATTATACTGTATTTAAAGTTATTATAAAATATTGGCTATATTCCCTGTGCTATACAATATATACATGTATCTTATTTATTTTATACGTAGTAGTTTGTACTACTTAACCCCCTTCCCCTATTTTGCCCCTCCCCCGTCTCTCTCCCCAGTGGTAACCATTACCGTGTTCTCTATATCTGTGTTTCCGTTTTGTCATACTCACTCATTTGGAAATTCTCTTTCTTAAGAAATGTCTTAAAAACACAACTACATGTTCATACTTTGAAGCTTTTTAGTAAAATCATCTCACAGGAGACCCACAATACCCTGAACAACAGTTCACTAGAATAATGTGGTTTCTCTAAAGGAAGGGTAGGTGTGTGGCCAAATCTGGCCCCATTTGTTTTATACAACTTGCAAGCCAAGAATGGTTTTTACATTTTCAAGTTGTTGGGAAAAAACTTCGTCACACGGGAACATTTTATGAGATTCATATTTCAGTGTCTATAAATAAGTTTTGTTGGAACACACCCATGCCCATCAGTGTACATATTGTCAATGGCCGCTTTCATCCTACAATGCAGAGCTGAGTAGTTGCCACAGAGATTGCATGGACCAGAAGGTAAAATATCTGCTCTATGGCCCTTTGCTGAAAAAGTTTATCAACATCAGCTCTAGAGCGCACATGAGGAAAGGAGGGCATTGAACCCTCCCAGTCACATACAAAACGAACATCTCTTTACAAGCTTGTATAGGCATCTTGCTGTGCAGTTATGGGGACTGTACAAGACCAGGAATAGAGAAAAGAGAGTGCGCCAGGACAATCTGGGTGCTTAGCCCCAACATTCCTTTAGAAAATCAGCTGTCAGTCTTCTCATCGAAGCACTCACATTTAAACTGCTGGCCTGCAGTCCTAAAGCTGCAGGATCCAGCAGAAGAACAGTGGAATACAGAGCATGTGGTCAGAAATTAAGAGCAATCTTAGGACCCGCCAGCTTCACCTTCTTAGGGTGCTATATCCTCTGAGCTAAATAGCTCTCCCTAAGGTTCTCTCTTGCTGTGCCCCACTCCAGAGAGCACGGAGAAAACACATAAAATAGTTTGGAAAAAGAGGGGGCAATGAAGCAGAGTGGCCACTCCCCCAGCAGTGGCCTGGGCATTTGGGAAGATGAAGATGAAAAAGGGCTTTGTAAAAAGCTGCATCAAGCTAGGCTAAAACTAGGCTGAGGTGCCCAGGAGAGAGGGTGGGGCTAGTAAATGTGTCCACTGGAGATGAAATATACTCGTGTAAAGGGCAGAATGGGGAAGAGTAGCCTTTTTCACCTCCTGGAAAGAGACAATAGCACAGGCCTAGGTGGAATTGGGTGTATCCTGCTCGTCCTTGGATGAGTAAGATTATAGGGATGGTACTGCTTCCTAAGCAGGGTGTCCACAATCACTATAGTTTGTGTAGCATTAAAAACTCAAAAAAGCTCTATGTAAAATGAGAGGAGATAAAATCATGTGATATGAATTGCAACCCTAGAAAACTTAGTGAACCTGTGATTTTATTTTTAAAATTTACCTACAATGCACATTTACTATTTGGTAATTGCTAACTACGTGCCAGATTTATATATACATATATATATAAATGTATCAATATAAATGTATATATACAGATATATACTCTAAGCCTTGTAGCAATTGAGCAAGAAAGATAGTAGTAGTGTAGTATCCTCATTTTATTAATGAAAAAAACAAGAATTTGAGAGGTTGAATGGCTTGCCCAAGTCCACACAACTATAAGCGACACAACTAAGATTTGAAGTGTCTCTGACTCTCCATGTCACCACACCTACTTTAGAGATGAGCATTACCATCTCCGAAAGACATAAAAGAGGCAATTCCTCAAGAATTAAATCTATGCTGGTTTATGCTAAGTATCACCTGCTCGATGAGGGGACTCACTGGGTAAAATAATTGAGGTGTCCAAATTTTAAGTGATAGAGGAGTATGGTTGGTAGGGAAACAATTCTTAGAGACTTCAATATGCTTCATGCCTGGCAATTAGGTCCAGTTTATTTAGTCTTCTCACAACATAATTTTACCTGGTACTAATGGATCAATTTATGGAATTTGATCTTTTTCCAATTTATGGAATTTGGTCTTTTCCATTTGATTCTGGCCTACATACTGACCAGAATCAAAGAAATGCAAGACTGAGTAGTCGAGGACTTTGACCACCAAGGCTGAAAGAGAGGACAGGAGGAAAGCGAAAAGAGAAGACTCCTTTTTACTGCTGGCACATCTCAACTAAGCAGCTCGTTTTCAACAGTATCAGGAGGCTCCAAAGAGATACCTACAAAAGAATGAAGAATGAGAATAATAAGGTAAACTTTAAAAAAAAGAAATAATAAAATGGAGCAGAAAACTGCAGAGTCATCCATCTAGGACAACTGCCTGAGTCCCAGGCTCAGTGTCCAGGGGTGTAAGCAGTAGATCAGGTTCAGTAGGACTGAAGGAAAGCAGATATTAGGGCACCCAGAGACTGGAGAGGAGCCCCACCCTTCATGGGGAGCTGATGGTGCCTCATTTGCTAGAGGACCAGGAAATGAGCTCCTATTTAACAGCAGCTCCTCCCATTTTCCAACCAACCTACTTACCCGAGAATGCTGGCTGAGAAGAAGCAGTTTTTCTTTCAGATTGCACAAACGACTTGGACAGGACTGAAACAAACAGAAGAAGGAAAGAAAAAGAAAAGGTAGATAAAGAAAAAAAGGATGATATTGTAATGGGCTGAGAGGGAGAAGAGTGGGATTGGTAAATGGAGGAGCATGCTATATTTATACCAAACACGGCCAAAATGAGAATGACATATAATTCAAGTAGGCTTTTATTTTTCCTGAGAATTAAGTATTATGATTCTTGTCATCCAAATGTATTTCTCTGCATAGCTATGTGATTTTGTCTAAAAAGAAAAAAAACCGAGAAGTAGTAATAGGGCCTAAAGATACTGCAGGAACAGGAAAAGATTAGGAAATGTAATTTTTTTGAAGAGAATGGAAGTCAAGGGTGGCAGTTATTGGGAAGAAGCTGTTTTTAGTTAAAGAGACTTGACTTTTGTTTTTAATTGAGAAGGTGAAGAACATTATTAGGGGAGGAAAGAGGGTGACTACATGATATACTGAAATACAGACATACCATACCTTATTTCTCATCAAGTCTGATGTCCAAGCAGAAGGAAGAAATAAATACATGTGTGTATGCATTTATGTATATGTATATATCTGTGTGTGTGTGTGTCTACATACACTATGTATTTGTCTTTTCTTTCCTATATACATATGAGTGTAGATGTGGGTATATGCATATGTGTGTGTATACATACACTATATATTTTGTATTCATATATGCATAAATGTTTGTGGGTGTAAGTGTATGTATATTTGTTTTAGTTGTAAATCTCCTCTTTCTCCCATTCACTCTCTCCAGTAGAGAGTAAATGACAAAAGACCAAAGGCAAAGAAGATAAAATAATGCTTAATTTTGGAGAGTTGGCTAAAAACAGTGTTTCTTTTAGGAGGAAGAAAACCTTCTCTTTAGAAATTAAAGAGAAATGCAAAGTGTAGTTAGATGACTAAAAGGAATGCTGATCTTTTTTTTTTTTAACGTTTCTTTCTTGGTGCAAAAACAAAGTTTCTTATTAAGCCGGAGAGTAATTTTTAAAAAAAGAAGAAGAAGAAGAAGTTTTCTGTAATGCTGTTACTGGAAATGACCCCTTGGCCTTTGCACAGGTGACCATGGTGAAGAGAGTGGCAATCATCGGAGCTGGCGTCAGCGGCTTGGCCGCCATCAGAAGCTGCCTGGAAGAGCAGCTGGAGCCCATCTGCTTTGAGAAGGGCAAAGATGTCGGGGGCCTGTGGAAATACTCGGTGAGTGGAACGCCACTGCAGGAGACTAGGAAGTGAGGTGGGAAGTGTGAGGGAACACATTGCTTGAGCACAGGCTTCTAAACTATCAGTCATGGCAGGTTTAATCGCTCTAAGAAGCACAGCATCAGGAGAAGGCTGGAAAGTATGTCCTTAACTTACTGCAGAAGCAAGTGAGATGATGGGCTAGCCAGTCACTGGGTACAGAGTTCAACTCGGATAAATCAATAATAAATTAGCCACTGGGGATAAAATCCA